ACATACATACATACATACATACATACATACATACATACATATATACATACATACATACATACATAAACACGTGCTTCATCGATAGAGAATTTCGTTCATGCCTTAGTGATCATACAGAGAAACAGGGTAAGGCGCGTTTCTTAATACATAATGCAAAAAAGCATGGTCAATCATCTGATCGTCATTGATATCACATCCATGTCACAATCACATTTTTTGCATTAAACCGTATTATGCGCTATTTTTTATGATACGCTTCATGGCTGCTTCATCCAATATTATCTTGAGTTTCGTCGGTTTAACCCTCGAGTTTTCATCTCCCATTCAGAAAGTCTGGTGAAATGGTTACGTCATGCCTATTATTTGAAAATTTATTTGGTTCGCGGTCCTCAGACCTTTTTTTCCTGACTAGTAATCATTGAATAAGCGGAAAGTTGAGGAAATTCGAAAATACTTAATTGCATTTTTTTGCTTCTCCCAAAGCGTCACAAATCATGTACCAGCAAGGTATTGATGCATGTAAATTCCCACATCTTCATACATCGTTTCTCTGTTTCTTTTCAATGCCTCAGAGCGTCAATCATTAGCAAGAAGTTGTGAGCAGTTCGCACCGTCATCCGTTAAGATAAGTTATAAAGTAAAAGGTACTGGCTGAAGACTTTCCCTTGATGATGCACTTCTTGTCTATTAGTTTTTGTTGCATTTTAGGATAGTTATCTGATTGACTTAAATTCACGTGATATCACGTCATTTCTAACATCTTTAGGTAAGGTTTATCAGTTTCAGCATAAATCGTGCATGCTTTGAAGGTCAATGGAACGAATGACGATGAGCGGCCTCCTCGACCCTTCCACCCAGAAGATACCTGAAAAACTTATTATCCTCAACGACCGCATCGCCGGCCTCACAGCCAGGATGTACAACATCAAAAAGGTACGCGTCTCCGTGTTGCTTCTTTTCAGTACGATCGAAGACGCCATATCAAAAACAAACAGAAAATTGCCGAAGAATAAGCATACTTATATTCTCTGTACTTCAGAAATATGAAAATCCGAAAGCCAAACCGTCCTTCCTCACCGAACGGAATATGGAGGTCTGCATCAAGCACTTGACAAAAAAGTTTCCACAGTTCGACGTCCGAAGCAGTGGCGTAAAGCAGGCTCAATTTAAACCCGTTTTGTAACTTCCGTGCTTGTTTCAGGCGCTGTTAAACTCGGTGAATTTCGTCAAGGACCAAATACTAACCACTCTAGACCTAGATTACGGTACTTTCGTCGACGTCCTCGAACTTAGGGTAAGGCTACGATACAGTCCATTTTACTTAATGTATCAAGTATCGAGCACCATGTTTTCTAGGACCACGTGAACGAGTTATTGACAACCATCAGTGCTTGTCAGGTGAAGTTTAACCTTGTAAGTTGTCTTGTTCATCTAAGGAAATTCCCGCAAATAGCATATTTTTAAGCAGGCATATTTTAGTCCCTGAACTTCGACTTAACGTATTACTACCTCAACTTGATAAGTGATTTCGTGTGCCTAATGATTTTGATATCGAAAATCGAGCAACGGAAAGTGATTCTTGGTCTGTATAGTACCGCATACGAAATAAAAAATGGCGAAGGGTAAGAAACTGCTTTACCTCGTTTTATCCGTATGCCTCGTTGTTGTAGCAGCTTTAGGTTGGAAAAAGGGATCTCAGTTTATAGACCTCGATGAAGTGTTTTTCTTTTCGTATGACTTTTATGTACCTTATATTGTCGTATGGGCCAAGATTACTAGGAAGGAGCGGAAAAAGGAGAAAAGTTTGCGACTTTTGTAGCTAGTCTTATTTGCATTTATAAGGCCATTTGTAGCGCCATTTTTTGCATTACACTAATGGTGTGGCGCTGATATCCATTTCCATGCCATCAATCGGCTGTATCATATTTCTGATGCAGCGTCGACAGTACCTCTTATTCCCTTACTACAGGTATTTACTTTAGTAAATAATTGTCATTTGTAACCTCAGAGGAACGAAAGGTAACTGGCACTATCGGTGTTAGAACCCGAGACCTTTCGCTTCACAGTCTTAAGCTCTACCTGTTGAACAATACCGGCCCAAAGTAGTTAGGAATATTAGATAAAATGGATTGAGCTGTAGTCTGTCGAGATACTGTTAACCTTGTAAGGTACCTTACCGAGGTATGGTAAGACTATTCAAGCTTATTAGCTTAAGCAGCAATTGAATTATCAGCGTAAGCACGTCCGTTCATACAAGAAAATGAAATATATGCGCATGGAAAGTTAATATCAAACCAAAATATTATGTAGTAGTAAATACTCTTGCAGCTCTGACTGTCCCAGAGTCCTTGCCAGGAAAGGTAGAATGGATCGCCGTTAAACGAAATTACGATACCTTATGGTAGTCAAAATTTCTGTAATGGCCGCAGAAATTGAAAAGTTGCTCCTTGTAAACGATAAGCAAGTATTCTGCTTTTCACTGTAGGTAAGATAGAGACAAAATGCAATCATTAACATTATTAACAAAACTATGAACAAGCTCATACAAATCTACTGGCTCATATCACATGATGGAGACTCAACATTTTGTTTAATCTTTAGTTCTCTAACCTGAAATCGATGGCAAATTTGACAAGGGAGCGTCCCAAATTTGTGGCTGCTCCAAGAATGAACCAAAGGGTGGAGGTCTCTCTATCTGTATTGGTAATTGAGCATTCGATCAGGTTTTGGACTGGCTATCGCTTTGCTTTTTGTATTGCCATGCTTATTTAGTGTCATCATGTCCGTGTCTGAGGTTGTTCTTTAATCGAAAACAGTGTCTGAGCTTGGGGAATTTTGATTTGCCAGCATAACGAAACCGAACCGAGACTTCCCAGTTAATATAATCACTATTCAATGCAACATTTTTTCTTAATCTGTTTTTGTCAACAATCACTCTGGTATTTCTAGGGAACAAAACTTTCCTCGTCTTGGCCAGATGATTATGGATTACGGCAATCCACTAAAAAAGCTTTCAGATGATTTTTCACCTCACCGTGCAGTAATCTATGATTTCTATTCATATATTGCATTTCACGGTCTACCATGCGGTTATAGAATTTGATGAGAGCCATTAACTCGATCGCCTTCATCTATGGCAGACGCAATTTAACGGCGGACAAGTGGAGAGAGGCCCAGCTGCTCAGTCTCGTATCGACACCTAGCAATCTGTTGTCTTCGGCAGAGACAGACACGGTATGATATGATTTACATTGTAATATTTAATAAATTGATAAATCTTAAACAACGCTAATTGTTGTAGATCCCTTGTGAGTACCTTTCGCTGGAAACGATGAACCGTTGGATAATAGGTGAAGTGAAATAGTTGATTGTAGCATCGATTGGTTATTAACGCAGCTCGCTATGTATTGTAGTGTCCCTTTCCATATGCCATTATTGCATCGCACAGCCGCTCTTTGCCGATCTGTGGGGTCAGGCATTGAAATCAGGAGTCCGATTTCCGATCTATCGGGATGAGTATCTTTCTATACATCACTACCTTCAGCCCTTTCTTGAAGGAATTAAAGGGTAATCGACACGAAAGTTCCATAATACATGTTATGCGTTTACGTTGTATTATAGCTACGGAAAACGGGTGAACGAACTGAAGGAATTGTACACTGCGGCCACTCAAAACGCGTAAGACTGGAAACGAGCCAGTGACACAGCAATACATTGCTCGCTCATTCAGGGTTCTGGTTCATCGCGAACGTCGGAAGTTTCTGCGGTCGGCGCTGAAGCAGCTGTGGCTACTGCTGTCGGATGAACCGGGTCTTATTGCACCGAAACTTTTGCTGGTGCTCATTGGTGTATCGTTTTCCCGTGACGAAGTCAACTGGCTACTAAGGCATGGGGAAAATTGGATGGACAAGTCCGCAAGCAAAACCAAGTGTCCAGTAGACATCAGCGACAAGTACTAGCTTTTTCTAAATTTCCATTGCTGTCTCGAAACAACCCAAACACTGATTACCATATAGGAAAATAACATATCACTGTTAATTCTATTTCAAGATTAATACTTATTTGTATACCAATATACGTGCACACTACCTCTCATTGTCCAACTGATCGAAGTAATTGTAGACCATATAAAATTATGCCGCAATAAATTTTTTTAACGAAGATTAGAATAGATTCCAGAAACCTTGCTTTCTGGTTTCGAAACTCTCTACTGTTGCGGACGATCAACCACGTTCATAAAATTTCACCATTAACAAACTTTTAAG